CAAGAGAATCACTTGAACCTGGGAGGCGGGGTTTGCAATGAGCCAAGATCACGCCATTGCATTCCAGCCTAAGTGACAGAGCAAGATTACATCTCAAAAAAAAAAAAAAAAAAAAAAAAGAAAGAAAGAAAAAGACCAGTGCTTTCCAGGAGTGAAGGGGGTAATAAATATGCCGAATACAAAAAATTTTTAGGGCAGTAAAACTATTCTGCATGATACTATAATGGCAGATACATGTCATGACATATTTTTCAAAACTCATCAAATGTACAGCACCAAAAAAGAACTCTATGTAAACTCTGGACTCTGAGTAGGTTCATGAATAGTGTCAAATACACCACTTTGGTCAGAAATGTTGATAGTGCAGGAGGCTTTGCATGTGTGGGGATGGAGATGCATGGGAATTCTTTGTATTTTCAGCTCAATTTTGCTATAAACCTAAATGTCTCAAAAATTTATTTAAAAAATTTAAGACTTACCTTCTATTTAGCATTTCATCATGCCAGTTAGAATGGCAATCATTAAAAAATCTGGAGACAAGAGATGCTGGAGAGGATGTGGAAAAAAAGGAACACGTTTATATTGTTGGTGGAAGTATAAATTAGTTCAACCATTATGGAAGACAGTGTGATGATTCCACAAGGATATAGAAATAGAAATTCCATTTGACCCAGAAATCCAACTACTGGGTATATACACAAAGGATTATAAATCGTTCTATTATAAAACACATGTACACATATGTTCGTTGTGGCACTGTTTACAATAGCAAAGACCTGGAACCAACCCAGATGCCCATCAATGATAGACTGGACAAAGAAAATGTGGCACATATACACCATGGAACACTATGCAGCCATAAAAAATGACAAGTTGGCGTCCTTTGTAGAGACATGGATGAATCTAGAAACCGTCATTCTCAGCAAACTGATGCAAGAACAGAAAACCAAACACCACATATTTTTGCTCATAGGTGGGTGACAAAAAATGAGAACACTGGGCACAGGGAAGGGAAGGGAACAACACTCACTGGGGTAGGTGGCGGGGAGAAGGAAGGGAGGGACAGTGGGAGGCTGGGAGGTTGAGGAGGGACAACACAGGGAGAAATACCTGATGTAGGTAACTGTGGGGATGGAGACAGCATACCACCATGGCATGTATATACCTATGCAAAAATCCTGCAGGATGCAGGATGTGCACATGTACCCCAGAGCCCAAAGCACAATAATAAAAAAAAATTAAGACTCACATAATTTGTTTAAGATAATAGAAAGAATGAAAATTCTGTACATTTAACTGTATATTAGAGGACCTCAAAACTCTTGTGAATAGGTAGGCTGAATTATACATTTACCTAATCAATACAGTTTAAATATTAATCTACAACTTTATTTAAGCCCAGAATATTTATTGATACCTACTTTTGGTGAATTAAACAAACTATCATCTATCTGTTCAAGGATTTTACAATACTGAGAGAGAAATAGACCATTAAGTAATCACAAAGTAGTAAGTTTTATTTAGAATGCACATATCATTACAAAAGCTTAGTGGAGAAATATGCATGTTAGAATCTACCAGAATCAGGAGGTCAGGGGAATTTACCTGGAGGCTATGTCACAGCTGAATTATGGCCATTAAGAAAAGGTATTCCTGAGATCTATCCAAGATGGCCGACCACTAACAGCTCAGGATTGTAGCTCCCAGTGAAAGCTCAGAGAACGAGACGACGCCACATCATTAGACGAATTTTCATCACTCACCGATTAGCCGACTCCCAGTGGAGGAGCCCCACGGGTCGCCAGCGCGACTCTTGTGGCCGCTGCAGCGGTTTTGCCGGCGTCTCGGCGCAGCAGCTCTTCACGCAGAGCCAACGGGACCACTTCCCCTACTGACCAGAGTTTGGAGCTCCGGGAAGTCAGAGCCGCTTGTTGCGGACTCAAGAGGGAAGCCAGACCAGAGATTCCCGGGCAGAAGAGCACCATCAGTCTTATCGCTGCTATTTAGGCTGCCACAGTGGGTGGCTCGGATCCCAGCACTGGGAATCAGTAAGTCGGACGTCGACTCAGAAAACTAATTAGAAAGGCGGTTCATCTAAAATGAAGGGAAAAAAACAGCCTAAGAAGGCTGAGTATACTCAAAATCAGAACCCATCAGCAACGGAACAAGCCCTGATGGAAAAGGACTCATCAGCAACCGAACAAGCCCTGATGGAAAAGGACTCATCAGTAACGGAACAAGCCCTGATGGAAAAGGACTGTGTTCCATTATCTGAAGTAGGCTTTAAAAGGTGGATGATAAAAAACTTCTGGGAGTTAAAGGAACTTGTTCTAACCCAATGTAAAGAAACTAAGAACTTGGAAAAAAGGTTCGATGAAATGTTGAAAAGAATAGACAATATAGAGAGGAATACAAATGAACTTATGGAGTTGAAAAATACAACACGAGAACTGAGTGAAATATGTACAAGCTTAAACAGCCGAATGGATCAAGCAGAAGAAAGGGTATTAGAGGTCGAAGACCAACTTAATGAAACAAAACGACAAGACAAGAATAGAGAAAAAAGGATAAAAAGGAATGAGCAAAGTCTCCAAGAAATATGGGACTATGTGAAAAGACCTAATATACGCTTGATTGGTGTACCTGAATGTGACGGAGAGAATGAAGTCAAGCTGGAAAATACTCTCCAGGACATTATCCAGGAAAATTTTCCTAATTTAGCAAAGCAGGACACTATTCAACCCCAGGCAATACAGAGAACACCACAAAGATATTCCTCAAGAAGACCAACCCCAAGGCACATAATCGTTAGATTCACCAAGATCGAAACGAAGGAGAAAATATTAAGGGCAGCCAGAGAGAAAGATCAAGTTACCCATAAAGGTAAGCCTATTAGGCTTACAGCAGATCTCTCAATGGAAACCCTACAAGCTAGAAGAGAGTGGGGGCCAATATTCAATATACTTAAAGAACAAAACTTTCAGCCCAGAATTTCATATCCTGCCAATTTAAGCTTTACATTTGAAGGAAAAATAAAATCTTTTAGGAACAAGCAAGTACTCAGAGATTTTATTACCACCAGGCCTGCTTTACAAGAACTTCTAAAAGAAGCATTATACACAGAAAGGAACAACTAGTATGATCCTTTCTAAAAATACACCAAAAAGTAAAGAGCGTTAACATAAAGAAGAATTTTTATCAACAAAAGGACAAAATAGCCAGTTAATATCAAATGGCAGCAACCCTAAAATTAAATCAACCAAATCTCTCAATCAAAAGATACAGACAAAATCCAACGGTATATCCAAAGATATACATAGACTCAAAATAAAGGGTTGGAAAAAAAAAAAAACGTACCAACCAAATGGAGAGCAAAAATAAAGAAATAAAAAGCAGGAGTTGCAATTTTCACATTTGACAAAATAGATTTCAAAGCTATAAGGATACAAGGGTAAAAGGATTAATGTAACAATAAGAGATCTTAACACCCAGATACATAAGACACATAGATTTAGATTCAACGAGACAACAAATTGATAACGATATCCAGGATTTGAACTCAGAGCCAGAACAAATAAACACAATAGAGGTCTCCATTTTAAACACATAAAATATGCATTAACCACTTTAAACACTCAAAATATTGATCGGCCATTATTGAAACCCATTTTAGGAAAGAAGTAATATTCCTTTTTCCCCCTTTTTCTTTTTCTCCCCTTCTTTTTCTCTTTTTCCCAAAAAAAAAAAAAAAAAAGAAAAGGTATTCCTATAAGAAAACTTTGAACTACAATCCCACGTCTGCATAAGAAGTACAGCCACAGAGATCTCGAAGCAGAGACCCCTGATTTAATTCTGTATGCTCTTTCTCTGCAGGTTTGTTTAGTGTTTTGTTTTTGTTAATTATTCACAGAAGCAATGATTGAGTGAGAAATGAGAGATGAGCTGAGGAACTTACGTAAACTGAACACTGTCTAACTGGGCATGAGTTAGAGATTGGAGTTTGGTCTCTATTGGAATTTTTTATTGGGCCTGTACTTTTACAAAGGCATATGGAGTCAATCATTCATGGATGCAGGGCTTGCAAAGGATTTTAAATAGCTGGGTTAAAACCTAAACATGGAGACTGTTTCTTCAACCAATGGCTGCTCTGAACTTCATGGAAACACTTGATGAAGACTCAGCCATAGGAAGACAAAGGCCAGATGACTGGTTCCTGCCACCTTTGAATCCTAAAGTTGGCACCTTAGAGATACTCAAATAATATTTTCAAATGTCCAGCCTGAATTATTTTCATTAATATTAATAGTATATCTGGGGTAGAATTGTAGAGAAAATACTGTGTACAACGTGCCTAGAAGTCATGTCGGACCCAAATACTTAACTTTACTTCTGTAATGTCTAGTCCCAAGATATCTTTAAAAATATTCAGATCTAATGTATTGACATTCCCACTTCTTTCATATCTCCTCTTTTGAGACACACTTTACATGCTGATGCCGGAGTAACTAAGCTACTCACTGTTTTCTCATAACAAACCTGATCCTTTGTGAGTTATATATAAAAGAGAAACTTTCTGGTTTATTTTATATTCATTTTTAGTTCCTTTGAAATACAGAAACATTCTTTCATCCATTCTATCATTTTCTATCTCCTACATGTGTAGCAGTAAGTGTTTGGATTACACTATATGATGGCAGACAAATATGCTATTATCCAGAGTTTTGCATAATTAAAGTATAATACATTCACTTTTGAAAACGTCCATACTTAACGTAAGTGCATAATGCTGCCAGGATATTTTTCCCCTCCCCTATGGGTTTGAAGCTTTGCTTTGCGTCTCATCTCAAACACATAATTAGCTGTAGCAGCTATATTATAGTGGTCTCATAGCCTACATCACCCAAATCTTCTTTAAACATCATTTTAGCAAAGTAAACCCAGGAAATTCTGTTCACCTTACTTAAATACTTGTAACTTTAGTATTTTTACAATTCTTTCAGGCTCCGCACAGATGGGATTTTTCAAATGAAAACCAGATGAAAGTAAACAGCAATCTCACCATCAAAACCTAAAGGTAGGAAGACGAAGACCTAGCTCTATGCTGTAACAAGATACGCTTTTGCTGTGGAAGTGTGTTTCCAATAATTGCACAGTTACCTTTCATTAGAGACTCAAATCAGCATTTTATTTTTTCTTTTATAATTTGATGTGGTAAAAGGAGAAGTGGGCTTTCAAATGTCTAAACTGTGTCAACCTGAGATGAAGGTTTTTAGCACTCTGCCTCTGTAGGGGTATTGGATTTGTAGTTCTTTTTCCAAATCCTGTTTAACCTACAATTAAATAATGTAAATATATGATTTAATCTCCCCTGGCTACAAACTTTCAGTGACTCTGGAGATTTCCTCCCCTTGGGGTTTTAAATTTGATTTCTATTGCCCTTCCTTACTAAAACCTAGATCCATGTCCTTTTCCGTTGCAATTTGCTAAATCATCATTTAATTTGTATCCCTTTTTTTTTGAGACAGAGCCTCATTCTGTTGCCAGGCGCCAGGCTGGAGTGCAGTGGGGCGATCTCAGTTCACTGCAACCTCTGCCTACCGGGTTCAAGGAATTCTCCTGCCTCAGCCTCCTGAGTAGCGGGGACTACAGGCACAGGCCACCATGACTGGCTAATTTTTGTATTTTTAGTGGAGACGGGGTTTCACCATGCTGGCCAGGATGGTCTCCATCTTTTGAACTCATGATCCGCCTGCCTCGGCCTCCCAAAGTGCTGGGATTACAGGCATGAGCCACCGCATCTGGCCTGTATCCTCTTTTAACTTTACTTGTAATAATTCTTTTTGGAACAAAAAAGAACACTAGATTAGATAGGAATTATCGTAACTGTTTTGCCAATTTATTTTTATTTTTTAATTATACACCTAGATCATTTCCAAAGTAGCCTCCTAAATTGGTGCACATTAAAATCATTTGAGAAGCTTTAACAATGTAAAGCCCCATCTCCTGATGATCTGATTTAACCGGTCTGGATTGGGACCTGGGCATTTATAAGTTTTAAAAGATTTCTTTACGTATCTTAATATGCAGCCTTGGTTGAGAATCATTCTCCTAGTGTCTAAAACTCGTTCTTGCAGGGGTTTGTTATTATGTTTCAAAGTTATGAGTCCTTTTTACACCTTGAGGAAAGTCAAGGAATTAGTCAAGCCTAGAAAGAATGTGAATACTGTTGCACTCTACACTCAGATTGCATGAAGAATCCTTAGCAGTAATAATTATCTTAGCATCATATTCTACTTCTAAGAAGGAACATGTGAAATGATGACATTCCTAGTTAAAGTACTTTGGGTCTCTCTGCAGTGCGCTTATCTGATTTCTTATCAGCATTTATTATAAACATTCTCAAACTCAGAGGCCCGTGGGTCTTCATTCCATCAGCCCTTCACACTATGGTACAGAGCTGACCTCTGACATGGCAAAGATTTAAAAACAACAATGTGTGGTGTAACCTCCTGAGTACCTGTGGAAAGGATACTCTCTCTTGGGCATCTATATTTCTTCTCTTTCAGGTGGTCTTCCTTGCCTCTGTCAGTAGAGAAATGAAAGACAGAGGGCTGAATCAGCCAGCCAAGTAGGATGAAAACGGATGATGCAGGTTTTATTTCACATCGCTTCAGAAAATGTAAGCAGAAAGAGAACACGGTTTTCACATCTAGAAATGATGTCATACACACCTGGGTTGTTTTGAATGATTATTATTTCACTCACTGGTCTTTCACTCTCCTAATAGAAAAAGAAAACGCCATTCGTAATAGTCAAGTTTTATCATTAACAGGATGGCTAAGTATTTTTATTACAATCAATTGAATATTTTCATCTTTAAGTAATACAGATACTATAAATGTTTAAGAAATCCACTTAGGAAAATTATCTGTGGTGAATCTTTTGTATTTTTCTAAATTCTCAAAATACTAAATTGATGGCGCTAGATTTATTAAAATGATTTATAACTAACATCACAAGTTTTAACTCAAGTAAATCATCCTTTCAAATGTGTCTCCTTCTTCTTATCTCCAAGTATATTTTGACCCCAAAATATACTTGGAGTCACTTGAGATCTTTTATTTTACTTATTTATTTTTTTCTTTTTTGAGATGGAGTCTTGCTCTGTCGCCCAGGCTGGAGTGCAGTAGTGTGATCTCAGCTCACTGCAGCCTCCATTTCCCAGGTTCAAATGAGTCTCTTGCCTCAGCCTTCCAAGGAGCTGGGATTACAGGCACCTGCCACCAGGCCCAGCTAATTTTTGCAGTTTAGTAGAGATGGGGTTTCACGGTATTAGCCAGGATAATCTAGATCTCCTGATCTCATGATGCACCCGCCTTAGCCTCCCAAAATGCTGGGATTACAGGTATGAGCCACTGTGCCTGGCTGACATCCTTTATTTTTTTAAACAGAGACCTTGAGAAGAGCAAAGAGATGTTTTGCTGCCTGTACAGATACAGGTGTAGCAAACTTGAGACTCTGAGTACTTATATTCCTTTTAATTACTCTGAAATAATGGGGGTAAGAAGTTCAGACAAGTTCTAGGGAAACAGTAAATATGATTAAAAGGCAAATTAATAGATAGAAATAGATTGCGGGAATTTAATGTGTTTAATGTACCATGTCTAACTTACTGACTGTAGAGGAGATTTGAAACCAGTGGAGAAATATGTAAATAACCTAGAGGAGAAAATTTCACCTTACGTTGAACGAATTCATGATGGGGACTAATAGTAATTACAGGGCCTGGTGCAGTGGCTTGTGCCTGTAATCCCAGCACTTTGGGAGGCTGAGTGGATCATTTGAAGTCAGGGGTTCAAGACCAGCCTGGCCAACGTGGTTAGACCCCATCTCTACTAAAAAATAGTCGAAAAATTAGTCGAGCAGTACTGGTGAATGACTACAATCCCAGATAGTCGGGAGGTTGAGGCAAGAGAATCGCTATAGCCTGGGAGGCAGAGGTTGTGGTGGGCTGAGATTGTGCCAATGCACTCCAGTCTAGGCAACAGAGTGAGACCCTGTTTCAAAAAAAAAAAGTAATGGTTGGATCATATTTAGAAGTATAAACCATGTCAAGAAAAATCTCTGACAGAGAATTTGAAAAAAAGATAAAATATCTGGAAAAGTTACAGTTATGGTACCCTTTTAGATTTCAGAAAGAAACCTTCACAGAAGACGTGTTTTTAGCAAGAAGAAATGTCAAGGGAAAAATGCAAGATTTAAAGTCACAGATCCCAGTCTGAATTTTTGATCTATCACTTAGAATGCAACACAAGGCATATTACCAGCACATTTATAAACCATATTTATAATTTATTTTTTCATGGATGTAATAGAAACAATGAAATGTTATTATATAAAGTGCTTTGCAAATTACAGAGATGCTTTCATAAATAGGTCAAGATGTACACCTCAAAGTGAGATTCTGGCTTTCGACAAGAGTTCCAAGTTGGTTAATATTTAATACGCACAGTCCATTTGGAGACACACTGATCTAAAAGGCTAAGAATTGAACAATGGAAGAAGTCCTTAATTTTGGAAACAGTCAATTTTAATTTAGATTGATAATGCTTGAGCAAAATTGCAAACATCTCTGAGTCTTCTTTCTCCTCATCTATAAGTCTAAGAGTGGGAACCGTTTTGGAGATCTTCTGAGAAGATTTCATGACGTATGTGTAACAATCAGTTGTGAGGGATATTCCAGATTAATAGTTACTGGTATGAGTTAACTTTTGTTAATGATTCATCTTTTGCTATGTGTTTATTTAGATTATGTGTATGATATACTTCTCCTAATTCTTCTGCCATCTGCTTCCTTGAAAGGAGCAGAGGTGAGATTTACCTATAACCTGCAGTTTATGTGGACAGGTAGGTCCTATAGAACGTGAGTAGTAGTAGTCTGTTTTAAGAACCATCTATTACAAGTGTATGCAGGAAAAAGTAAAACAAAGCTGAGAACCTTTGGAGTGAACTATGTTTGAATATTCCTTAAGCTCAGAATCAAACAAACAAACATCAGTGAGTAGAAGCAGAGCTTACAAAGCCATGGAGGAAAATAAAAGATTCTGAATTAACTCTTTTCTGCTTGGATATCACTTAGTTTTTTTTTCTGTCTTTGATTCCTTTCAATATGTGACTAATGCATACTTTGTTAATAATGACCAGAGCTTTGTTCTTCACAATGAGAGCTACTTAGCCATGTAAACAGAGTGACAAAAAGGAGGAAGCAATTAACCTAATACATGTATTACACAGTCAAACACCCAGGAAGGACTGTGAAATCATAGGGGCAGCCAGGTACATAGGTACACTCAGAGATAGGTGCTGGCTGCTGGCAACCACCTGATAGCACTTACTAAGACTGAGATAAGGAAATAGAAACTACGAAGGGTGCTCTGAATAATCCTGGGTAAAGAGATCTTGACTCTATACCAGAGAGGTACATCAATTAGGTGGACGGACTATGGCTTCTTTAGGAAACCACTGAAGGATCATGCTACCCAGTCATTAAGGGCGACAAGTTCAATTGAAGTTGCTCCTGCTTAGATCCAATGTCTACCTTCTTCCTAACTCAGCCCCATTTCTCATTTGTAATCCTACTCTTTAGTCCATCAACTGATCCTCAGCCAAGAAATCTGGACACGGATTTTGGCTTGGGTACAATTTGCTGATTTTTATCTTTTTCTTTTCTTTTTTTTTTTTTTTTTTTTTCTGCAATGAGGAGGCTGCAGTGAGCCAAGATCATGCTATTGCACTCTAGCCTAGGCGACAGCGAGATTCCATCTTTTTTTTTTTTTTTTTTTTTTTAAAGAAGGGAAAAAAAAGAAAAAGAGGGAAAAAGGAATATTACTTCATTCCTAAAATGGGTTTCAATGATGGCCGATCAATATTTTGAGTGTTTAAAGTGGTTAATGCATATTTTATGTGTTTAAAATGGAGACCTCTATTGTGTTCATTTGTTCTGGCTCTGAGTTCAAGTCCTGGATATCGTTATCAATTTGTTGTCTCGTTGACTCTAAATCTCTTTATGTGTCTTATGTATCTGGGTGTTAAGATCTCTTATTGTTGCATTAATCCTTTTACCCTTGCATCCTTGTAGCTTTGAAATCTATTTTATTAAATGTGAGAATTGCAACTCCTGCTTTTTATTTATTTATTTTTGCTCTTCATTTGGTTGGTGAGTTTTTTTTCCATCCCCTTGTTTTGAGTCTTTGTATATCTTTAGATATATTGTTAGATTTTGTGGATAATATATATTTTGTATGTTTAAAATGGAGAGCTCTATTGAGTTTATTTGTTCTGGATCTTAGTTCCAGTCCCGGATATCGTTATCAATTTTCTGTCTCGTTGAATCTAAATCTCATTATGGGTCTTATGTATCTGGGTGTTAAGATCTCTTATTATTACATTAATCCTTTTACCCTCGTATCCTTGTAGCTTTGAAATCTATTTTGTCAAATGTGAAAATTGCAACTCCTGCTTTTTATTTATTTATTTTTGCTCTCCATTTGGTTGGTACATTTTTTTTTCCAACCCTTTATTTTGAGTCTATGTATATCTTTGGATATACCATTAGATTTTGTCTGTATCTTTTAATTGGGAGATTTGGTCAATTTAAATTTAGGGTTGCTGCCATTTGATATTAACTGGCTATTTTGTCCTTTCGTTTATAAAAATTCTTCTTTATGTTAATGCTCTTTACTTTCTGGTGTATTTTTAGAAAGGGTCATACTGGTTGTTCCTTTCTGCGTATAATGCTTCTTTTAGAAGTTCTTGTAGAGCAGGCCTGGTGGTAATAAAATCTCTGAGTACTTGCTTGTTCCTGAAAGATTTTATTTTTCCTTGAAATGTAAAGCTTAAATTGGCAGGGTATGATATTCTGGGATGAAAGTTCTGTTGATTAAGTATATTGAATATTGGCCCCCACTCTCTTCTAGCTTGTAGGGTTTCCGTTGAGAGATCTGCTGTAAACCTAACAGGCTTACCTTTATGGGTAACTTGATCTTTCTCTCTGGCTGCCCTTAATATTTTCTCCTTCGTTTCGATCTTGGTGAATCTAACGATTATGTGCCTTGGGGTTGGTCTTCTTGAGGAATATCTTTGTGGTGTTCTGTGTATTGTCTGGGGTTGAATAGTGTCCTGCTTTGCTAAATTAGGAAAATTTTCCTGGATAATGTCCTGGAGAGTATTTTCCAGCTTGAATTCATTCTCTCCGTCACATTCAGGTACACCAATCAAGCGTATATTAGGTCTTTTCACATAGTCCCATATTTCTTGGAGACTTTGCTCATTCCTTTTTATCCTTTTTTCTCTATTCTTGTCTTGTTGTTTTGTTTCATTAAGTTGATCTTCGACCTCTGATACTCTTTCTTCTGCTTGATCCATTCGGCTGTTTAAGCTTGTACAAATTTCACTAAGTTCTCGTGTTGTATTTTTCAACTCCATAAGTTCATTTGTATTCCTCTCTATATTGTCTATTCTTTTCAACATTTCATCGAACTTTTTTCCAAGTTCTTAGTTTCTTTACATTGGGTTAGAACAAGTTCCTTTAACTCCCAGAAGTTTCTCATCATCCACCTTTTAAAGCCTACTTCAGATAATGGAACACAGTCCTTTTCCATCAGGGCTTGTTCCGTTACTGATG